TTTCAAACTCCTGAGCTCAAACAATCCGCCCGCCTTGGCCTCCCAGAGTGCTAGGATTACAGGCGTGAGCCACCGCGCCCGGCCATGAGCTCAATTTTATTTTAAAAATATATACAGATATGTACATTTGAACTATTTCATAATTGGTTTTATATATACAGAAAAAAGAATGGAAGACTATATCTCAAATAGTGAGATAACAGTGATTATCTCTAAGTGGTGTGATTATGGACAATTTTTATCTTCTTTGGACTTCTCTGTTTTCCATATATCCCAAACTAATTACTTTATAATTAAGGAGGAAACTCAAAAAGTTATTTTCAAAATAAAGATCTTATAAAGTAGAATCTTAGTTCTTACCAGGGGGGGGAAAAAAAAGGATAGGAAGCATTTGAGTTCCATTAGTTTCTTTTTTCTTTATATTGATTTGCTTTGGGACAGGCTTTAAAGGGTAACTAAACTAGAGAAGTGATTATACTTACATTCTTGTTTGAAGGTGAAATAGTCTGTAAGATGCCGGCATTCATGATTTCCTCGAAGCAGAAACAATGTTTTGGGATGATTAATCTTTAAACTCCATAAATACAGCACACACTACAAGACAAATTCAAGGATAACATTTTCTTGGTGAGCACGGTAATGCATAAAGACAGTTTATATAAATTCAAATGACTTGCTATAATGGCATATCTTACTGCTTATTGCCAAATTGAAAAATGAAACCTTCCAGCTTTTGAATGTGATGTGCTTGTTGCCCTAGAATTTCATCAAGTATAGAGAGTAGCCTTCACAGAAATCTCTCCTTTATTTCTGTTCCTATGTCCTATGTAAATATCTAGAACTCTCTGACAAGCCACCTACACACACATATGTATCTCAGTTCTAAAATCTGTATTTTATTTAATGGAGAAACACAAGAGGCATTTCCACTAAGATCAGGAACAAGGCAAGGATACTCACTATCTCCACTAATATTCAACATTGTAGTAGAGGAAGTTTGAGGTTGCAGTGAGTTATGATGATGCCACTGCACTTCAGCCTGGGTGACAGATCAAGTCCTCATCTCCAAAAAAAAAATGCAAATATGTTTGTATATGTTTAATTTACCTCTGACAGGTCATGTAAGAAAATCCTCTAATAGTGATTGTAAAAGTTGAATGGCTAACATATGAGGAGATTGCTCAATTTCATTAGTAATTAGAGAAATATTAATTAAAACAACATTAAGATACTACTTTATATACACTGTGTTGGTAAGTATTAGAAAATGAGATAAAATTAAAGTCTGGAAGGAGGGATATGAGGAAATATGAACACGTCAGTGCTGCTAGTAGGAATATAGACTAGTACAACCATTCTGAAGAGTCATCTGGCAATCAATACTCAGTTCAAGTATGAATGCTTATATCCTTTTTCCTACCAATATCATTCTTGTTCATAAACCACAGAGAAACTAAAACATTGGTCCATAATTGGATTTATATGAGGTGTTCATCATAGCAGTGTTCCTTTTAAACAGAAATTAGAGGCAACCTAGGTGTCTACCAATGGGAATAGAGAACTAAAATGTCATATACTATAAAATGCCATACAGTAAGCAGAAAGCAATGAACTAGCAGCACGTGTAGTAACCTGGATAGATCTTAAAAACACAGTGATAAGAGGGGAAAAAAATCAATAGAAATAGACCTATACCACTGGCTCTATCACGTTCATCTCAAAATGTGGTATACCACCTGGGAACTTGGTAGAATATAGATTGTCAGGCTCTAGCCCAATCCTAATGAATCAGAAATGGGTAGGTCCCAGTAACCTGTTTGCACAAGCCTTCCAGTTAATTATGATGTATGCTAAAATTTAAGGACCACTGAACAGCACATCATTTATGTAAAATTAAAGTACTTTATCCACAAAAACACTGTATAGTAAAAAAAATTAATATGATGTATTACACATATTCTGAGGCATATATCAAATACAACAGAAACGTGTATACTGGGGAGAGGGAGTAAGGAAGATAGAGGTCACAGATAAGAAAAAAAAGGATAAAACAAAAAAAGAGGGACTTTACAAAGATAAATGTGCCATGACCTGAGGAGCTTGATCAGTTCAACTGGGATTTTCCCACCTCCCCAAGAAGGAAAGACTTTTAAACCCTTAATCCAAATGTTTCTCAATATGCACAATCTAATCACCAACATCTCCTGCCCATTTTACTGGATTAAGTTCCTAATTGGACTCCCTGCACCCTCTTTTGGGCTCTAACAGTCAATTTACCACATGGCAGCTAGAGTAATTGTTCTAAAACATAAATGTGAATATATCATGCTCCTGCTCAAAAAATAATAATAATAATCCTCCAGTGACTTCCTATCACACCCAGAATAAAACCCAAACTCATGACTGTGGTCTGCAGGGGCTGACATAATCTATCTGCCTCTCACTGCTGCATGTCCTACATCTCCCCCTTACTCATGATTCCGTCTGCCACGCTGGCCTTGTCACTATGCGTGCACTGCTGACGCTTGTTCCTGCCTCTGAGCTCTTACACTGGTTGTGTCCTCCGCCTGGAAGGTGTTTTCCCCAATCTATACGTCACTTGTTCCAGCAGGTCATTCTGTTCAAATGTTACCTCCTCACAAAGGCCTGCCCTGGTAACTCCATCTAAGTTAGTTCCTCCCGTCCCCTTTAGCCCCTTACTCTAATTTGATTTTCACAGATGGTAAATAAATACACGATGCTGTCTGTCTCACTAGAAAATATAGTAAAAGACTTTGCTTGTTCATCTCCATATCCGCATAATCTAACTATGTTTTTCAACACAGATATTACTAACAATTTGAAAATTGTAATTCTTTGTTGTTTAGGAGTCTCCTGCATATTGCGTTATACTTTGTATCCCTGGAGCCTGCTTATTAAATGCCAATTGGACCTTTCAATCATTGTGACAAACTATTTATCCATCATTATACTTAGGTTATGTATAAATTCTCAAAAATGGGACTGTTGCATCAAAGTATATATACATTTTGATACAGACATTGCAAAATAACCATAAAACTTAAATATATAGGCATATACAAATAAATATACTTACAAGGCTTTTTTCTTTTGGGGGCTGAATTTCATTATCAAGATATCAATTTTCACAAAACATTCCAAGGAAAATTACATTAAATCCATATATAAATTTAGACTGTGCTTTCTCTTTTCTATACCCATGCCTTTCCCAACCAAGAACACAATATATCTTTTGATTTATCTAGGACTTTTTTTTTTTTTTTGAGACAGAGTCTCACTCTTTGCCCAGGCTAGAGTGAGTGCCATGGCGTCAGCCTAGCTCACAGCAACCTCACACTCCTGGGCTCAAGCAATCCTTCTGCCTCAGCCTCCCGAGTAGCTGGGACTACAGGCATGTGCCACCATGCCCGGCTAATTTTTTTCTATATATTTTTAGTTGGCCGATTAATTTATTTTCTATTTTTAGTAGAGACGTGGTCTCGCTCTTGCTCAGGCTGGATTCGAACTCCTGAGCTCAAACAATCCGCCCGCCTCGGCCTCCCAGAGTGCTAGGATTACAGGCGTGAGCCACCGCACCGGGCCTATCTAGGTCTTTATTTCTGCCTTCCAGACAGACCAACTCACCTTTCTGAAGTAATGAGATATATAAAAGCGCAATCTATATCCATAGTACAGTGTAATTTGGTTGATATACCTCCTGGCCTCTAATTTCAAGTTTCATTTCCTTATCTCACATATCAGGATGCAACTACACAATTGTCTTATATAATTCAATTACAAGGTCATGATTTTCAGGAGATAGGTTCAGATACTCAATTACTTCTTTACTTCCTATGAACAGAATTTTCACTCTACCTCAAGAATCATTTCTGTGTGTCAACAGCTGTTCATCAGTTGGTCATCTTACAACATTTTCTCCTTGGTGGTTCCTGTGCATTTAGTACAATACATCCTATGCTGAACATGTCCTCTTTAATCTTTTCTTTTTTCACAAAACCAATTAAAGAAAAATCAAATTTATCTTCCCCTACCACAAAAAAAGCACTTTATAATACGTACAGATGAAGAAAGAACATCAAAAGGCTCAAAGAAAAGTGAAACTTTACTACTCTGCTTTATAAGTGACATTTAGATCAGTCCCTGGTGTACTAATCAAAGCCCACATTACTTCAGAAAAGACCAATACTTGCTCTGGGCATGAAAAAAAAATACATTATGCCTGGATTCTCTTAGATAGGCTCGAGGTAAGAAAATTAAGTATATAATGAAAAAATAAGATGAAATAAGATTCTGTGAAAGCAATTTGGCAATATGTATCAAAAGTCTTAAAAATGTTCCACTTTTTGATCCAATTACTTCACATAAGAGAATCTCATCTAAGGAAATATCAGAAATGCCATCAAAGATGTAGTTGAAAAGACATTAACTTCAGCAATACACAGAACAAAAATAATTGCAAAGCAACCCTGTACCACTTACAGTACAAGTGATACAAAACCCAATTCACTGTTGCATAATGAAGACATTTTAATATCCCACAAAAGAAGAAGTCTGGAGATAAGATGTCCAGGTTTGGTGCACCAGCTTGATATCATCACCAAGAAACCAAGCCCTCTCTACCTCTTTGATCTGGGATTCATTCATTCATATTCATTCACATTTCATCCTTAGTCACATCACCTCCTCATAGTCACAAAATGGCTGCTATAGGACATACATCCACATTTGAAGTGACATGGCAGAATGAGGGTCCAAAAGCTTTCATCTTGCAAGAAGAGTTTTTCATCTAGAATGTTTCCAAAAACAACAAACAAAAACACACAGCAGAGTTCCCCTTATACATTACTGGGCAGAAGCAGATCCCATATTTACCCCTAGACCAAATCACTGGTGACAGGAAATGAATCGTCTTGATTGGTTCAGACCAACCAGAATTCACTCCCTGGGGCTGGGGTAAGAGCCTTCCTTCCCTGAGAGCAAAGGTTCTCCCTGCAACTCCAATCCCGTTTATCTGAATAAAATAGAAATTTTGTTATTAAGGAAGAATACGGGAAATATAGGCAATAAGCACAACCTGCTACAAACCTATTTATCCAACAACAGTAGAAGAATGGTGTAATAAATCATTGTATTCGTACCATTAACTATTGTGCAAGTTGCTCATGCGAACTGGGTCATACTTGTCATACCCAACTAAAACAGAGTCAAGAGATGGGGGAAAAGCACTCAAGGCACATAATATTGTTCCCAAAATGTAATTCTCTGCAAGCCTGTCTGCTTGAAGTTGCTTGCTGTAACCTGAAATCAGTTTTATTTAATGGCTCCTGAAATGACCTGCTGCAATTCTAAGACTATTTTTACCCACTGCCATCACTCACCATTCAAAGCTTGCCAGCTCTCCAGAACCTTACTAGTGCTAATGAACTTTCTCAAAGAGCAATGCATAACCTATCTCTTTTGCATAAATGCTCTAACATTCTCTTTGTTCTTTGGATTTACCGAAGACCATCTAGTCTGCACGTATGCCTCAAATTACAATTATTTCCTCCCAAATAAAACATTTTAATTTCAAAGATTTATTTCTATATTTCATTTGACTTCAATACCACATTCTTGGAGCAATTTTTTTTTTAGAGACATGGTCTCTGTCACCCAGGCTGGAGTACAATGGCCTGATCATTGCTCGCTGCAGCCTCAAACTCCTGGGCTCAATCTTCCTGCTTCAGTTTCCCGAGTAGCTGGGAATACCGACACACACTACCAAGCCCAGCTAATTTTTTAAATTTTTGATGGATACAGAGTTTTGTTATGTTACCCAGGCTGGTCTCGAACTCCTGGCCTCAAGTGATCCTTCTTGGAGAAATTTTAATGATAGAGAAAAATACTTTCAATACAGTTTTGGGTGGAAAAAGAATATTACAAAAAGGAATACAGAACATGATGCCAATTTTCTTTAAAAACAAAATATTTACAAATGTAAAAGAAGAAAAAGACTATAAGAAAATATAATAAAAATATTATATAACAGTGACTTTCTCTGATTTATGTAAAGTTTTTGTTTTCTTAGATTCTGCATTTCCCAATTTTTCTATCAAAAATGAACTATTTGTAACAAAAAAAAAATTTAACAAAGATTCTATGACTTTATTTTCAGCTATTGGACAAAAATATCCCATTCATGGTTATCAAGGACATAGATATAAAACTATTTCAAGTAAATACTTGTATCATATTGGACTAAGCTGTAGTCTATAGAAATTTATAATCTTAGTGGTTTATAAATAAGTGGCTTCCAACTAACACTAGCTATATCCCACAGGTCATTTTTCAAATTGGCATAAAATAGCATTGTCACCTTAAAGTTTTGATTCATTTATTTCTTAAGTTATTCCAGAAAAATAAGTTAGCAAACATCCAATAACAGGATAAAGTCAAGTACAAACTATGATTAGTTAACATTCACTCATTCAACAAATATCGAGTGCCTACTATGTGTCAGGCATTATGCTGGGTCCTAATATAAAAAATTCTGTTGATAACTAAATAAGGACTTTTTGTATTATACTAAAAGATCTATTCATAAGTGTGTATCTTTTCTATTAGACTATGAGCTCCTACAGAGAGCACGAATCTTATTCTTTATACTATTCTCATAACCTGCCATAAAGTTGGCACTCAGGAAACTTTGTTGATGAGTGAAGAAAAAAACGCCTAACACAAAATATTCTGAACATGGTATATGTATACAAAGATCATTGTGAATTTTTTTGTATGTGCTTTATTGACTATATTAATGAGTTAAAACTATTTAAAAACTATTTTTACATTATATGAGTTAATAAGCAGAAGATGATTTGGCATAATAATTTATCATGAAAAAGTTGTTTCATTAAATGACTAATTAAAAATTCAGTAAGTTTTGTATTCTTTTTCTCTTCACCCTTTAAAACCTCCTCATGCTTATAAACATACAAAGAAATAAACACTCGATGTGTCCTTCAAACATCCATACTTTTGACTTACTGTCTTTTGAAACATGACACGTAGCAATAGGGAAGTTTTTCAATGATACGGTCTGCAAGCATGGTCTTCATCCATCTCTGGGACCCATTTAGAGACCTTGGACATTGAGCAGCGGAGAAAATGGGCTTTACCATTTTCTCAGTTTATACCATTAACTGTTGTCCTCACATTTGATACTAAATGAATTTTAGGCACTGGCAAACAAAATTGAACTTTTCTGGCTGATGAATTTAGATTGCCTATCTAACTAAAGAGTAAGCTCTGTTTATTTTGTTGTTTATTTTTCCTGTAGCTTTAGAACAATGGGCTGGGCATCAGGTGAGATAGTTGACTTGTATTTAGGAGTGATGCTGCAGCAGCAAAGAACTTTTAAGCACCAGAAACATACTTAGTACAGTGAGATTCTCAGACTATGAGGGGCAGCCAGTACTAGAGACAACAAAAACAGCAAGCAGACTCAATTTCTCATCTCAGGCTGGAGCACGTTACAAATTTCATTACCCACACTATTTCAAAAGTTATTTCTCTTTTATTTGTCAGGCATATAGAGTTTAATCAATGAACATTAAATATGAATGTGCTGTGGTTCCACTGTACTCAAGTCCTTGCATTATGCTCTAAAACAGTTTTATGTTTTACACATAAAACATTCTATTTGTTTTTAATTCTAACCATGTTCCTGTCATTCAATTTTCAAAATATATAAAAGGAAACTATGTTTTCATTAACTGAACCGCAATTGATTTTTTCCTCTTCAATGAGCATTTATTAAGTGCTTACTATGTGCAACAGTATCAGAAATCATTCCTACAATAAGCTAAATGCCTGTTTATTTACCACTGGCAGTTAATCTAAGAGTTAATTGTAGCTCAACAGCTTATGGTCTTATAATTAAGGTCAGCTAATCCAAACACCATTAAAGGTGAACACCAATTTATGTCACTTGTATACAGCCTGTATATGATCTTCAAAGAGGATAGGTTAGTAAATATTTAACTTATGTGCAAAGCTGGGTTAATATAGCCTTCTGTATGTCAGATTTTCTCCTGGTTAAAAAAAAAAGGAATAGCTTTTTTATATCAATTAAAATATTTCTTTATTACTTTAATTTTGAAGTAACAAAGTTCACATATTCTCCCAGTGTTCTCATTTTAATTTCTTCTACTGAAAAAGACAATATAATAGTTCCAACATATCCAGTTTAATTTTTACCTCTATACTGAAATAGCCTCTGTCCACATAGTCACCCAGAAAGAGGTAGCGTGTGTTACTAGGTGATCCTCCAACCTCAAATAACTTCATCAGGTCAAAGAATTGTCCATGAATGTCACCACACACTAGGAAAAAGTCATATGGTGAGGTGAGGAAACATGTCTTAGAAGAAAAAGGCCATTACATCAAAAGGGATCACAGTGTAACTTTTAACTTAAATAACTTTAGCTTTTGACTGGATTGCTATATAATTGTAGTGAATCTATTGATACTAAATAGTCCTACTGGAAAAATTAGACATTTAAAATAGTATTCCTTCAATGAACAACACACATCTTAACTCTGAGGTCCCCAACCCCTGGGTACCAGTCCATGGCCTATTAGGAACCAGGCAGCACAGCAGGAGGTGAACAGCAGGAGGTGAGCAGGCAAGTGAAGTTTCATCTGCATTTACAGCTGTTCCCTATCACTCATCACCACCTGAGTTCTGCCTCCTGTGCAATCAGTGGTGGCATTAGATTCTCATAGGAGCGTGAACCCTACTGTAAACTACACATGCGAGGGATCTAGGTTGCTCGCACCTTATGAAAATCTAATGCTTGATGATCTGAGCTAGAGCTCAGCATTGGGGAGTGGCTGCAAATATAGATTATGATTAGCAGAGAGGTCTGTATCATTATTTCATTATATATTACAATGTGATACTAACAGAAATAAAGTGTACAATAAATGTAATGCACTTGAATCATCCAGAAACCATTCCCCACCCCCAACCCCAGTCCATGGAAAAACTGTCTTCCATGAAACCAGTCCCTGGTGCCAAAAAGGTTGGAGACCACTGTCCTAACCAATCCAATTCCTAGAAAAATTATAACACCACATTTTAGCTGGTTATTTGTAATCATTTCTCAAAAATTAGCACAAATCTAAGTGCCATCATGCAAATATTTTTCATACCTGTGATTGGAGCCTCTACTTCTATCATGGTCTTCTCTTGTCTCAGGATGGCAGCCCCATCCTTGATTATTTTTAAGGCCACTTCCTCTTCTAGTCGGCCCTCCTTTACCAAATGATTTTTCAAGACATCAATTTTAGGTTTCCCATTCTCAAATACTTCCTTCAAAGTAAGCCGTTGGGTTGGAGGAAAGGGAACAGCTAGAAAGAGAAAAAAAGAATTTAAAATACTTAAATGTATAGAAAACAACCAGAACACATTTTTTTTTAATGTGACAAATTAATTAAACCTAATAAATCACCATGATTTTGCATCCGCCACACCGGAACTATATATCCAAGATACTGTATATCATAATGATCACCTCTAATTATAAAAAAGATCACAGTTAAAGTCAAAGTCATTTAACAGATTTGTGTGTGCATAAATTATAATGTTTTATATATAAACATGAAAGACTTAAAGCTGATTCAGGGAACCAAGCTAAAAATGAGACAAGGCACTAGATAATACGAACATCTTTATTTTTCTGTCTGTGGAAAAGGTTAAAATGGTTAAAAGGTTAAAAATGAAACTGTGGTTAAAGAAAATGAAAGAAATCACAACACTAAAATGGCATTTATTTCTTCCGCAGAACTGACCTAATGAAACCCTATGTTTTAGAAGCCTGACTTTAGTTCCTGATCAGGGGAATCATGGATACATACTGCATTTTTAAAAGGTAGTTGCTTCATGTACTTTATTACTGATAATGAGAAGAACATTACTAACAGGATGGAGCTATGTCTGAGCATAATTTGCTATACTAACAGAGCATAAAAGAGGAATAGATATGGAAAGTCCAGTTATGTTTTCTAATCTGGAAATGCTAACAACTACTTCAGTTTACACTGGGTACAAAGTTTATATACTTATATCACAGTGAATTAGCAACTGCGACAGAAAAAAATTGTGACATTTAAAAATTGGCTGTTATCTCCTCATTTGTCTACTTTATAATGCCCAGGAGTTCAAGGCTATAGTGAGCTGTGATCACACCACCACATTCCAACCTGGGCAACAGAGTGAGACTTTCTCTTAAAAAAATAAAAATTGGCCGGGCGCGGTGGCTCACGCCTGTAATCCTAGCTCTCTGGGAGAACGAGGCAGGCGGA